ACTATCGAAGAGTTGCAAGTTAGAGATCGTGGTTGTGTTTAGTGGGGGGTGTGAAGGAGTGTGGTAGGGGGGGGGAGGGGGGGGGGGGGGGTGGTGGGAGGCCGGAGGAAAACGAGGTGTGCCAGGGTGGGGGATACGCACGAGGCGACGCGCACATCCTCCTCCCTCGGGGCCGTCGCTCCTATTTACGCCATATTCTTCTGTGCATGTACCGTGCCTACGTTCGGGGAAAGATAAATGGGAAATGTTAGATGACTGCGTAGTATTTTTGGAGCAGGATTTTATGGACATACAGTTGTAGAATAATTATATATAGCGCTATTTCAGAACTTTGTGATAGGGTTTAACTAAGTGCCAAATGAAAGTTATTAGGTATTGATTTCACTGTTCAAGTTATCAGCTTATAATCGGCTGTCAAAATAAGTAGTAGTATGACCTAAACTTGTGCCTTTTTCTGCTTTTTTGAAATCCTTGGTTTGTTTATCCAAAGCCTCTCAGAGTTTTTCCGGGATAGTAACCAGAGAGACTCTACTTACAACTTGTGACGAGCTTGTTCCTCTTTACCCCTGGATTTCTTCGGTGGACACTGATTCCATGTCCTCAGCAGCCTCTGCCTTGGCGCTTTCCCCTCTCGGAAAGCTGCTGACTCTTGCTTTCATGGTCTGGATTATGTGTTGAAAGATTTCGGTGGCAGTGTTGACTCGGAAACTCAGTCTTGGGTATTGCAGAGTTCAAGTTCTGTATTGACAGACCCCAACGGTGAGTCGAGACAGTTGTGATTTTCGTTTATGAGGGGTGTAACAGCATCTGGTGATAGCCTGAAAGAAGACCAAGTTTACCTCATACGGTCGCGCCGTTAAGATCCGGTAATCAGCTATCATGGGTGAAATATTTATGCTCCTGAGGATGGCTTTAAAGGACTTGCACAGAAATTTAAGGACTTTTCAACGAAAAACGGAATTCCAGGACGAAAACATGCGCGATAAATGAAAATTATATGAAAAGGTTTCATCATCAACCAACAAATAGCACAACATGATCGCCAGAGGCAGTTGATTCGTGAGAGCAAACACCCTTCGCCAGTGGCAACATTAGTAAAGAAAAGGCTAATAGTTCGAAACGACGATGGGCATCCTAAGAATCGAAGGGAACCTCCGACCCAAAATAATTCCCTTCTTCCTTTAAAAGGCCTAAGAGAGGTACGGTTTGAGAGGTTCCACCCCCCCCCCCCCCCCCCCCCCCTCCCTTTTAAAGGAAACCCCCCACACCCCGGAGCGCCGGGGGGGGGGGAGAGGGGGGAGCACGGGGGGCGCCCCGGTCTTATAAAAAAAAAAAACAACACGAGACGACACGATGGCAATCAGATACATACA